AGAGTGCATGCCAGCTGAACATATCTTGGCTCAACTTAACATTATGGCTCAGTTTAACATGTCCTGTGGCTCAACACAATTTTTCATGGCTTAATATATCATTGTCTGTCAACAGGGCTTTGCAATTTAATGTTAATTGCTTTACAGCTCAAGGGCACATTGCTGCCATTCTTATCCAGTTCTCTCTTGATACCAGTATAGGTATAAGGTTTGGCATTCTATAACTGCTACCCTTCTTAAAGGGTTGTTACTGTGTAGAACGTTGAGTGGACAGGTATCGAAAGTATGTGTGTAAGTAATGGTAGATTTTGAACTCCATGAGACGGCGGGTTGTGGGAGGTAAGCAGTGGAATAGCGAATGTGATTACAAATAGTGTGCTGATGAGTAGAGTTAAGATGTTACTCTGGGGTTACAAGCAACAAGTTTGCAAAAACAGCTTAGACCAAGAGGTCTAACCTAGGTGTATTTGTGAGCACATTGTCAGTAAGGGCCAAGAAAAAAAGCTCGGCACCCCCGCTAGCAATTTCTGACTATCCATATCTTCTTCCTCAGACTATCAACATTCACAATGCGCTCGAGTGTAGATCGAGGGGATACTAGTCTAATATATACTAAGCAGTTGCGCCAAGGAGTTATATCTCATCTCATCAAAGTTTCTGATCTGATATCAGGTAGGCTGTGCTCTGATATACCCCAGTAGTATTTACCATCACAACTACATGTTGCATCAAACCTGCCAAGATGCCAAGTCAAAATGCAAAAATTTTCAGACCTATTTGGTCAAATCTTACTTCATTCTTTCTGGTTACCAACCATCCTCTTCACCACTATCCACTTGTCTTATCATCACTCCACCTTATGCACATCATCTTGGCATCGTCTTACTTGCGGTTCTCTTTGTTCTAATTTGCTGTCTTGCTTGCTGTGTTCTGGTATATATTCCTGTATACTTCTCTGCTCTATAGATTTATTTTATTTTAGTAACTAATATTGTACATCTTTTATAAAAAACAAGTAATTGCCTGTGTGTGAACCACATGGGTGAGTATAAACTGATTTATTTCAATCTCAATATCATAAGCTAATACAAAATGTCTCTCGCAAACCTTTAACTCTACCTAGTAGAAGCTGTTATTTTGAATCTATTAGTATTTTTTGAGTATGATTTCACTAAGTTGGAGTTTAACTTTAAACTTTAAAGTTTGTATAATAAAATGAATTAATATCTAATAGGATGATTGTATTAAAGATACAAAAATACTTATAATATAAGAATATTAGTAAAAGCCTTTTTCAGACCTGGAGGCTTGTATTTCAAGTTGACTCATCTATAGTTGAACTATAAACATGTTTAAATTCAACTAATGTGGCTGGTTAATTACCAAAGACTTTACTAACTTGATGTAATTAATTTATAAGCTTCTATATTACCAAAGTAGGTTAAAAGTAAAGCTTAGTCCAACCTTCCTGCTCATTCCAATTCCCCAAATCCTCTTCTTTTTTAATAACAATCTCTTCTTCCACCTATTACCTTGTCATTTTCTGACAGCTGACTCTCTTATTCTCTTCCCCACCGATCCAAACCTTATCAAGCTTTCTATTGATTCTTTTACTCTTGAACCACTTGACCAATTCCTTCACCAAGGTAATCCAGGTGCAAGTCGAGAAACATTCTGTTTCAGGAATATAGTTTAGGTCATCGATTGCCAGAATACCATTCTGAAAGTGAATGGCATATGTGTACCAGCTAACTTATTTTCTGCTTGCTGTTTGACCGTATTTCCAAGAGCATTAGTGAATATAAATAGAATCCCCATATTGTTGACCATAGGCAAAAAGCTTCCAATAGTGAGTTCTTGTATCTAAGCTTTAACAGAAGCTGCTCCTTGAACCTCTGTTAATAATCTTTCTTGATTACCAGCAGTGGCTTCTTGTTTTGCTATTTGAACCCACAATCTTTTCCCATTGGCATTTTAAAACATAGTTATTTTGTAATAAATAGTGACTGGTTGATCGAAGGTATGATATTTTAAATAGTACTCATATTCATGAAAAAGGTCATCCATTGCTAGGTAGCAGTTGCAGTCATAAATTTCATATTGTGAGTTTAAAAGATGTTGTAATTGATGTTTGTGAAGGATAAATCTTGAATGTAACCAAGTTTAATTAAAAGGAGAAGAGGAGAGTAAGGATGGTGGAAAGAAGAAGGTAAATACAGATTGAGTTGGTGAATTATTTAAATTAATTTTATATGAATTCTATTTTGTTAAAAGATCCATTTTTATTAAAGTACACAACTACTATTTTCTATGGTTTCTCCTGGGCATTGTCTCTAAATTGCTCTCTATTTTGTAATTCTCAAAATAATTACTGATTTTCTTAGAAAATCAATTAGCAATTACAATAATGGCAATAAGGATTTAATATGCTATCATTTGTAGGTAATACAGATGGGAGTCGGTATTGCAAATATAGTGAAAACCATGAAACAAGTATATATAGTCAGAAATAGTTGTAAACTCAATAATAATTACATGTAGTAGAGTTTTAAAGCTTTATGAAATCAAATAGTATGATGTGCAGTAATTTATTAAATTGAAATACTATCATCTTATAAGTCTAATTATATAAAATATCATCTTGTGAGTTGATATTAGAGCTATAAAAAAGGATATTAAAAAGACAGGTACTGTCAGAAATTTTTGCCAATGTGTTAGAACTTGTATTTAGTAGATTTCTAAAGCTTTATGAAATCAAATATTATGTGCAGTCTTGTATTAAATTGTAAAAACTATTGTTTCGTAAAATACCTAATTATGTAAAATATCATCTTTGTCATGAATGTGGCTTGGCAAAGAAAAGGTTTTCATGTGACTCATAATCATAAGTTATAGGTATGTTATTGTTTCACGTATATGACTCATTTGAATCATATGACTTATTAGGTTATAATTTGTTAGGTTTCGCACATGACTTGATTATGAGTCATGAGATGTATGCAGGGCAAGTATGACTTACAAGTATACTTTACGGGTATGTCTTGCACATATGATCTATGTTTTACACATAATCTCATTACGAGGTCATGGGTTTCACACATGTGACCAATCGGGATCATATGACTTGTTTATTAAGTTATGATTGGTCTATGAGTTTTCACACATAACCTTGCTACGAGGTCATGGGTTTTAAAGATGTGACCACTTTAGTCACATGATTAGTTTGTTATGATTTGGTTTCATGCATGTGACCACTTTAGATCACATGACTACAGGCGGAAAGAACACTATATAAGGAGGCTGGCACAACTGAGGAGGATAGGTTCTTCACAATTTGTTTCAAGTACTTTTCCTACTTATTACTTGAACAAATATAAAACACCTTTATGCTCTCTATCTTTATCACTACTATTATTGTTATACTGAGACAACTCTTCAAGAAGAAGAGTTAGAGAAAGCTTACAATAGGCGTTCCCGATAGAAGTCAAAGGACTTGTACTATCAGTAATATAGGCATAATCCTAGTGCTATCGTAAGACCAAGAAGAAGGAAAGATGAGAAATATTGTTCCCCGTCACTAAGATGTAACCAGTACGGGTACTCGGTTATTGGTTTTGTTTTATGTTTTGTTTTTAGTATCACTTTGATACTTGATTTGTTTTAAGTATCGCTTTGATACTTGGTTTTGTTTTAAGTATCGCTTTGATACTTGGTTTGTTTTAAGTATCGCTTGATACTTGGTTTTGTTTTAGGTTTTGTTTTTAGTATCACTTTGATACCTGGTTTGTTTTAAGTATCGCTTTGATACTTAGTTTTGTTTATGTTTTGTTTTAAGTATCGTTTTTGATACTTAAGGAGTTTTACCAAAGTGTATCGATTGATACCTTTGATTAGTTTCGTTCATGCTAGATATGAACAGATTTGTGTATTTAAAGACCGCCTGTTTCTACGATAGAAAAGGCAGACTTCGACATACAGTATTCCAATATACTTGGTTGAACGGTTACTTCTTTGTTCCCCAGTACACCCTCAAAGCCTCCTTTAGTTCTCAGCTCTCGCCTCCTCTCTGGAAGATCAGGCCACCTGCCAACTATCGTATCTAATACCGATAACGTGATTTGCACCTTGCGAACACGTTACATAAGAACTAAGTATTTGAAGAGGGATCGTTACAATCTTGTAAATTGGTAGTAGTAATATACAAATAAATATTGAAGAGACAGATAGCGTCAGAAATTGGTGCAAATATGATAAAACTTGTATTCAGTAGATCTCTAAAGCTTTATGAAATCAAATATTGTTTGCAACTTTTGTTTAAATTGAAAGCCAATTATTTACCTAATTATGTAAAATATCATCTTGTAAATTAGTAGTAGAGATATAAAAATAAATATTAAAGAGGCAGATATAGTCAGAAATTGGTGCAACTTTGATAGCACTTGTATTCAGTAGATCTCTAAAGCTTTATGAAATCAAATATTGTCTGCAGTCTTTATTTAAATTGCAAAACTATTATTTTGTAAAAAGTCTAATTATATAAATATTATCTCGTGAATTGGCATATAAGATATAAAAACCAATATTAAAGAGGTAAGTATAGTCAGAAATTAGTACAAATTTGATAGAATTTGTATTTAGTAGATCTTTAAAGCCTTATGAAATCAAATATTGTTTCCAGTCTTTGATTCCAATAAAAACTAATATCTAGTTCAATATCTAATTATGAAAAACCTCATCATATACAATATTTTTACAAATATTTTCCCTTCTATTATTCTGTATACTGTTTGATAATAATACCTTAACTCAGTTACTACTTGTAGCCCTTTATAATACAACATAGAGCTGACCATGACTGAAAACATCCTCCTGCAAGTCAATTCCAATATGATTCAATGATTGTTCCTGAACTTTGTTTATCGTCATACTGTAAGCAGGTCTTACTGGAAACTGTAGGCAAATAAGATTGACAGAAAGGTCATGAGTACCCTTGAGGTAATTCAAATTTGTGGAAGTAGGATCTGAATTCCTTTCATCTCTCCTGTCATTATTATACCTGATAATTGTTAAAAATAATAGTTAGAAATTAGTAATAGAGTAAAGTACTAATATATGAGAAAATTGAGTATTACCTTGAATTAGGTTACAAAAAAGGCCAGTAACCATCAACTGAGTACCATTGCAAAGGCCTTGCCTTAGATTGAGATTTCGTAATAACATAATTAGAGCTCCAACTTTCAAATATAATCTATGTGGGAGAAGTCTAACTGGATTAAGAGTATTTAAATACTTTAGTGTATATAGAGTTTGATCTTCTTTCGTAACTGTATCTGCGCTTAGATAAAAATGTAAATCTGATTGTGTAGTAGTATCACGAGCTAACATTGCATTGTTAATATCCTCAACTTCAAAATTTCTAGCTGCTTATATAGCTCGCTCTGAGAGATAATCGGCAAGAAGGTTATGTGAGGGAAAGAATTCTATATTGCTTGTCAGATAAATCAATTTCATCAAATCTGGTAATGTTTGAACTCCACTAGTCATGAAATTCTTAAGTGTAATAAGATTTGAATTCTGATTGGCTGGTAGTTCTGACTCCTGTAACTGAAGCTGACCTGTCCCAATTTTTAAAATCTATTGTCACGAACGTGGCTTAGCGAGGAAAGGGTTTTCACGTGATACATGGTTATGAGTCACAGGGATGTTATTGTTTTGCGCATATGACCTATTCGGGTTATATGATTTGTTATGTGTGGGATTTGTGATACTTTCGCATATGGCTCAAGTATGAGTCATGGGATATGCGCCTGACGAGTATGCCTTACGAGTGTGCCTTACGGGTAAGCCTTGCGCATATGATTTATGTTTCGCACATGACCTCATTATGATGTCATGGGTTTCGTGCATATGACTCAGTCGAGTCATATGACTTGTTTATTGCGTTATGATTGGTTTATGAGTTTTGCACATGACCTCGCTATGAGGTCATAGGTTTTGAGCATGTGACCACTTCGGTCATATGACTAGTTTGTTATGATTTAGTTTTGCACATGTGACCACTTTAGGCCACATGACTAAAGGCGGGAAGAACACTATATAAGAAAGCCGATACAGCCGAGGAAGATATGTTCTTCACGCTTTGTTCTAAGTACTTTTCCTACTTATTTCTTTAACGAATATAAAACAACTTTACGATCTTTATCTTTATTGCAACGTTATCATTACGCCAAGAAAGGCGCTTTACGAAGAAGAGTTAGAGAAAGCTTACGACAGGCGTTCCCGGTAGAAGACAAGGGTCTTGTACTATCGGTAATGTAGGCAGAGGCCTAGAGCTATCGTAAGACAAAGGAAGAAGAAGACAGGAAGAGAAGTATCGTTCCCCATCGCCAAGCACTAACTATCCAGAGAGGGATCGTTACATTACAAAGCGTCACCTAGTACGATGTCAAACGATACAAGACGGCATCCTTCAACCCAGACAGGGAAGGAGATATTGACATCGACGATCAAAATCTTAATCTAGGAGGATTCAGCGACGCCCTAGATCACGTCTCAGCAGAACCCTCGAGAGCAGCAAGCCCAGTAACCCCTGAGAAAGGATCACCAGTCGATAGCTCTCCTGCTGGAACTCCACAACGCGAGAGAATGTCGGGATCCGCAGTACCTAGGCCACCGGCCCCAGCCACTCCGGCACCAGGAACCAGCATACTGGGAATGACTGAAAATCAGTTTCAGGCATTTCTTGCAGCCATGCGAAATACAGGGCAAGGAAATATCCAACGACCAAAAGCAAAGGAGCCTGACACATACGAAGGAGCCGAAGATAAGCTACGAATATTCTTAGCGCAATGCGAGGGATATTTTGCCGTTAAGAGATACGGAGATCACCATGATGAAATTAAGATTCCATATGTGGAATCTCTACTCAGGGGACTCGCGGGACAATGGATCATGGGCTTCCAAGATGGAAGGAAGCAGAGGGAATGGGTCACATACGAGGAATACAAGGCGACACTCTTTGAACAATTTGGAGATCTCAACGCCAAAGAAACAGCAAGACGAAAGCTAGAAAAACTCCAGCAAGGAAAACAAATGTTCTCAGCATATTGGAACGAATGTCGACTGTTGGAATACGAGGCCGAGTTTGATGATGCGACACTCTACGTCATCCTCCTGAGAAACTGCAGTGAGAGACTCCGAGAGGCATGGGGAATCTCTGACCTGCGCTATACGACAGCCGAACAATTTGCAAGATGGGCAATCGACAAAGAAAGCAAATTAAACATGGTTCAGAGCAACTCGGAAAACACTATAGCACATAGAGTGGTCCAATCATCCAGGAATGTGAACGCGACCTTCAAACCGCAAGCACCTCCAGGAGAAAGTCGAGCATTACCACCAGGTGAATCAATGGAATTAGACAAGTCCAGAGCAGGGCCTGCTCTGAATCTGTCTAAGGAAGAATACGCCAGAAGGATGAATGGGAAACTATACCTAAGGTGTGGAAAAGCAGGGCATCGGATACGATAATACAGAAGCCGGCCGGACAACGGATACCAGGGAAACAGAGCTGCTGGAAATAATTGTTTCCAAAATCAGAAAAGAAGCAACATCTGCTAAATGATAGCAGAGGATTTACCGGTGGAAAACGACGAGGGTCCCCAGTAAACGGTAGGTCTGGTGAGACCCAAGATGTGGACCTTGAAAACCCATCAAATTAGCGAACTACTACACGGCACTACACACGCAAAGAGGAGAAGAAGATGGAGATCACGTGATGATCAAAACGAAGATATACAACGAAGAAAACAAAGAAACAACAATATATACAATGCTCGACTCTGGGGCCACTGAAGACTTCATCGACAAAGAAATATGCGACAAATACGGCCTCCACACCAAACAAGCGAAGAAAGCAAGACAAGTCTACTTAGCGGATGGAAAACCAAGCGCTATGGGTCCTATAACCCATACGGCGACAATACCCATGGACATTGGCAGCCATAGGGAAACGGCAACCTTTCAAGTGGCAGATCTGAAGAACCATGAGATAGTCCTAGGGATGCCATGGTTACAAAAGCATAATCCGACAATCGATTGGAACGAGAACAAGATGACCTTTACAAGCGAATTATGTGTGACACAATGTCTCAACAGTTCACCTGTGGTCTACTCAATAGCAATACGAGAAGCGGGGGAAGAAACTTTGCATGCAAAGTTTGCTGAGATGCGGCAAGACAAGAGAGTCCGGATACAAACACTGGACCAAGAGGCAAAAGTGCCTACCAAGGGTTCCAAAGGGGCAGCAGGACACGACCTATATACCAACGAAGGAATCAAGATTCCTGCCAACGGGCAGGCAACGATAGTGACGGGAATAGTGATTGGACTCCCAGAAGGCACCTATGGACGAATAGCACCCCGCAGTGGTCTAGCAGTCAAACACCGACTCATGACCATGGCAGGGGTGATCGACATCGACTATACAGGTGAAATCAAAGTAGTCCTGGCACACCTAGCTCAAGAGGACTACCAAGTCTAGAAAGGCGATCGAATCGCACAGTTGATAATCGAAAAAATCAACAAAGAGGATCTGCATGAAGTAGATCAACTGGAAGAAACCATAAGAGGAAATAAGGGATTTGGAAGTACGGACCAAAACCAGCTCGATACAACAAAAAGAATTGAGATCAAAGAGATCACAGCACAAGCCTTTGGACGATATTATCGAAGAGGAGATACAACAGGAATCCTCAAATGGACATACGAAGACGAAAAAGTGGTTCTAGCAAAAATCAACATTAGCACAGAGCTAGCAGATCCAGGACAAGAAATACCAAAGCAAAAAAGGATGGAAAGAATTGGTTCCAAAAGAATATCACCAATTCACAAATCCATTCAAAGAAGAGGAAGCTACGGAGCTACCACCTCGAAGACCAGGAATCGACCACGAAATTCAGCTGGACAAAGACGAAAAAACGGGAAAGACAAAAGAAATTCCCTATAAGAAGTTATACCCCCTAGGGGAAGCAGAGCTCGAAAAACTTAGGAAGTACATCGAGCGAAACCTAAAGAGAGGATGGATCCGAGACTCTTTCGCGTCAGGAGGATCCCCAATACTATTCGTCAAAAAGAAAGACGGAAAAATGAGACTCTGCGTGGACTACAGAGCCCTCAATTCGGTTACCAAGAAGGACTGATATCCACTACCATTGATTGGGAAAGCACTGGACAGACTACGATCAGCAAAATACTTCACCAAACTTGACATCAAAGATGCATACTACAATATACGCATCAAGGCAGGAGACGAATGGAAGACTACATTCGACTCAAGATACGGAATGTTCGAATACTTGGTTTTGCCCTTCAGGCTAACCAATGCACCGGCTTCATTCCAGAGATGGATCAACAAGGTACTTAATAAGTACCTCGACATATGTTGCATCGTATACTTGGACGATGTACTCATATACTCAGAAAACATACAACAAAACCAAAAAGATATCAGCAATATCATGGCGGCAATACAAGGATCAGGAATGAAGATCAAACCAACAAAATGCGAATTCCATAAGGAAAAAACAGAATACCTTGGATTTATCATCAATCGAAATGGGGTCAAGGTCGACCCTGTTAAAACAGCAGGCATATGGGATTGGGCCAAACCAAACAACAAGACAGATGTTCAATGCTTTATGGGATTCTGCAACTTTTATCGAAGGTTCATAGAGGGGTTTAGCAGGCTTGCAAAACCACTCTATAACCTAATGAAAAAAGACAAGAAATGGGAATGGGGAGAAACGGAATAAAAAGCATATGATACAATACAAACGCATCTAACATCAGCACCCATATTGGTCCATTTCAACCCAAACCGAAGGACAATGATCGAGACGGACGCCTCAAAATATGTATGCTCAGGCATACTATCGCAACAATGCGACGATGGAAAATGGAGGCCAGTGTCCTATCGATCCAAGACAATGACCCCCGCAGAGTGCAACTACAATGGTGCAAACAAAGAACTATTAGCAATAGTTCAAGCATTAAAAGAATGGAGAAGATACGTTTCGAACAACGACCATCCAGTCCAAGTTCTAACTGACCACAAGAACCTGGTGCCATTCATGACTACGAAAGAACTGAACGATCGCCAGATAAGA